TTTATACCCCTTTATATTATTTTAGAATTAATCCACGAGGAACAGGGATCTGTCAAATTCATTCTTTGTACAGTATAAATGTATCATAAAACAATATATAACCTGCTAGCAACCCGAGGAGGTATTTTCGGAGGCCTTCCAAATGAAATGGAAAGTTGGTTGTCTACTTGCAGGGGTCTAGAGCAGAAATTTCTCTTCAAGTCGGGTATCTCATTATCCTACATAAGAATGACAGGGATGTTCGTTCAGTTTTACATCTACTTTTGGAAAGCAATGTAATGTTTTTTTCTTATTCCACAGAAGATTTTATATACCCAAAATGCTTACCAACATTATTTTTCTTTCCTTGTGGTTAGCTAAAGTTTGTATTTTTAAAGACATTATCTCATTCACTTTTTATTTATAAATTAGAACAGAGAACAGAGAAGAACAACAAAGATGATTAGGGGACTGGAGGCTAAAACATATAAGGAATGGCTGCTGGAATTGGGTATGTCTAGTTTAACGAAGAGAAGGATGAGGGGGGACAGGATAGCAGTGTTGCAGTATCTCAGGGGCTGCCACAAAGAAGAGGGAGTCAAGCTATTCTCCAAAGCGCCTGAAGGCAGGACAAGAAGCAACGGATGGAAACTAATCAAGGAGAGAAGCTACCTAGAACTAAGGAGAAACTTCTTGACAGCTAGAACAATTAACCAGTGGAACAACCTGCCTCCAGAAGCAGTGAATGCTCCAACACTGGAAGTTTTTAAGAAGAAACTGGACAGCCATTTGTCCTAAATGGTATAGGGTTTCCTGCCTGAGCAGGGGGTTGGACTAGATGACCTCCAAGGTCCCTTCCAACTTTATTATTATTATTATTATTATTATTATTATTATTATTATTATTATTACTACTACTACTACTACTACTACTACTACTACTACTACTACTATTACTACTTGCTAGACATATTATTGTTCTTTCCCCAGGCATTATATTGGGGACTCAGGTACTGGAGAGATTAGCACTCAGTGAAATGCCTTAAAATAAAATATTTTTTTTAAAAGAAAGTTTTCCTATTTGGCTGCAAAATAACTAATTACAAACAGTTTTTTTCTTCCATTCACTTGTGTCGATTCTCAGAGATGGTCTAGACCACGACTTTTCAACCAGTGGTACGCATGCCACCTGTGGTACTTTGGCACCTGGCCGGTGGTACGCGACCATCCTAGAAAGGGGTAGCAGGGGAGGGGAATGAGTTGAAGTTATGGTACTTCACTGTAAATTTGATTAGAAAATCTTTATTACTACTATTAGCTTACTTAACAAAAGATCTACAATCACTTCAGTAAATAACTCCAACTGTCAGAATTCTGTAATAATAGATCATATTAACAAAAACAGTCCTTTGTATTTCATCTAAACCTTCTCTGTTAAAATTGTCTGGTGTGTTGATTTTAGGGATTCTACGGTTGTGTTAAAAAGAACTGATGAAGGCATTATGACATGCATAAATTTGTCTTTATATCTTATGTTGAAATACCTTTAAAATAAATAAATAGCCATATTCTTTTCACAACTATTTTCAAGTTATCTCTGCATTGAATTTTAAGTCCATGGGACAAAATCTACTGTTTATGCATTCTACAACATAAATATAGAATACTGTTTGTAGCCTTAGTAGGAAATTCATTCAGAAAAGTATGTGTGTATGTGTGTGTGTGTGAGAGAGAGAGAGAGAGAGAGAGAGAGAAAGAAAGAAAGAAAGAAAGAAAGAAAGAAAGAAAGAAAGAAAGAAAGAAAGAAAGAAAGAAAGAAAGAAAGAAAATTTACATAAAGAAAGTTTACCTCATTGTCACCCTCCATTCCACTGCTGACACTCAATAGACTTCGGGTACTTGATCGGTTACTTGAACTGCCTGGTTAGATGAGAAAAATAAGTATTTTACAAATAGGCTCCACTAATTTAAATTTCCACCCATTTTTGCCAACTCTGACTGAAAAGTGAGAAATTATTTTGGTTTATCAAATATTTTAAATTAGTCAAATATTTTCCTAAAAAGCGTTAATCATTCTTGAACTATAAACACCATTCTTGCTCGCCTTCCAACAAGCAGCAAATTAAAAAAACAGTAAATTCAAATAAATTATTTTTAAATTACATAATTTATATATTATTCTTTATACAATATATTATACATTATACATTGTATTATACATTACTCCAACAACTCTCAAAATCTCCATAAAATATAGTAATCACAAATGTGATAAAATAATAGTACAATGGAAAAAAAATTCTATTTCTCTCTTAATATGATGTTGCTATGTTTCTGTCAGGATAAAAAAAAATCAAAACTTTGCTTTTGCATTACTATGTGAATATTAAAAAAATGTACATTTTATTATGAGGAAAAAAGGAAATTACTCCAAAACAAAAGGCATATCTCTGATTTAAACATTTATATAATTCTGTACAATGTCACCAAAAAAAGTCAGTTTATATTACTCATAAGTATGTGCACATATTAATCATTTCCCATAGTTTATTTATCATGTTCAATGGGAATGATAGTGGCAGGAATTCAGAGATTCTCATTATATACTTTTATGCTTCTTTTCACAACTCTTAAAATTATAAATGATTTTTTTTCTTCAAGAAAATGAGAGCATGATCATAATTTGTAGAGAATTCCAGTCAAGCCAAGTCTCTTTATTTCAATAAATGAACAGAAAAACACAGCTGTGAAAAATAGAATTGCGACTGTCACACTGAAATATTAGTCTAACCCTTTTGCTATATTGACTACAATTTTAATTGTTAGTAAAAATTATGATATCATGAAACTGATAATATGTTTAAGATTCTAAACACAAGGATGAACATAATGAAAATGTTTAATATTGTGTCTATAGGAAGTATAACTGCAAAATATAATAATAATAATAATAATGATGATGATGATGATGATGATGATGATGATGATGATGATAAAGTTGGAAGGGACCTTGGAGGTAGTAGTAGTAGTAGTAGTTGGAAGGGACCTTGGAGGTCATCTAGTCCAACCCCCTGCTCAGGCAGGAAACCCTATACCATTTCAGACAAATGGCTGTCCAATCTCTTCTTAAAGACTTCCAGGGTTGGAACATTCACAGCTTCTAGAGGCAGGTTGTTCCACAGATTAATTGTTCTAACTCTCAGGAAATTTCTCCTTAGTTCTACGTTGCTTCTCTCCTTGGTTAGTTTCCACCCGTTGCTTCTTGTCCTGCCTTCAGGCACTTTGGGGAATAGCTTGACTCCCTCTTCTTTGTGGCAGGCCCTGAGATATTGGAACACTGCCGTCATGTCCCCCCTCGTCCTTCTCTTCATTAAACTAGACATACCCAATTCCAGCTACCGTTCCTTATATGTTTTAGCCTCCAGTCCCCTAATCATCTTTGTTGCTCTTCTCTGTACTCTTTCTAGAGTCTCAACATCTTTTTTACATCACAGTGACCAAAACTGGATGCAGTATTCCAAGTGTGGCCTTACCAAGGCATTGTAAAGTGGTGTTAACACTTCGCGTGATCTTGATTCTATCCCTCTATTAATGCAGCCTAGCACTGTGTTGGCTTTTTTGGCAGCTGCAACACTTGGCTGGCTCATATTTAAATGATTGTCCACTAGGACTCCAAGATCCCTCTCACAGTTACTACTATTGAGCAAGGTACCCCCTATACTATACCTGTACATTTGGTTTTTCTTGCCTAAATGTAGGATACTATAAAAAGAATGATTATGACTTAAAAGGCTAAAGAACTAAAAAGATTTTTAATTGCAGTAACTGATTCTATATAATTGATAGCAATAACGCAATAAAAGTAATAATCAAATAAATGTACGTACAAACATAATGCATAGATATAAATAATGGACTAAATAGACAGCTAGAGCTGGTGGGTGATCAAGAGAGCCAGACAGGAAGAAAAGAGATTTGACAATACATTTAATGTGAAGAATCAATTTATAGGTTAGGAATTCCTTAATTCCAGCAATTCAAACTATTGAGATCCGAAGTACACTTCTTCGTTCCCTGCTAGATAGCTTCCTGGCTACCTCTGTTGCTTACTTGTAGTACTTGATGTGCTTTCTGTTTTCCAGTCCCCTCGTTTTATCTCTTTACTTATTGGGAAAAGATTTTTTCTCGGACTATATTCATAAATCCTACACTCTGGTTTCCTTGGCATACTCTGAGAATGTCCAGTTGGTACAGTGATTTCCAAATCTAAGAAGAAAGAATAATGATTAACCAATTAACCAGGCCAAAACTTTCAAGTTCCTCCTGAGTTAAAGTTGGAAAGATAGAAGCTGTTTCTCTTCTAGCACATATCCTGGCATGGACAATTACAATTCTGATAGGTGAAATCATCTAACTTGGCTTTTCAGACAGAGTGTGCCCCTTTACCATTTTGGAAAACCATGGATGGGATGTTTTAATCTTCATTAGGACATGTTTTGATCCTTTTCTTTTTCCCACTGAACCAGGAATAGAATAGAACAGTGGTGGCGAACCTATGGCACGGGTGCCAGAGGCGGCACTCAGAGCCCTCTCTGTGGGCACACGCGCCGTTGCCCCAGTTCTAGGCCTTCAGCTGGGTTTTATAAAACCTTTTTGCTTTAGGCCTCTGCCGCCGTGTGCAAAAAAAAAAGGTTCAATCAGTCAATTTCAACTTCTCGTGGGGAAAAAAAGATCTTGCAAAGTTGGAATTGATGATTGAACTTTTTAGTCCCACCCAGTCTGCTCTTACCACCGCAGCCACACCCATCCAATAGGCCACATCCACCCAATTGGCCACACCCAGCCAATGGGCCATACCCACCCGGCACCCGATGATGCATAAGTAGGTTTTGGGTTGCAGTTTGGGCACTCGGTCTCTAAAAGTTTCGCCATCACTGGAATAGAATAATAACTTTATTGTCATTTTGAATGTACACTAATTGGCATACATTAAAATGAAATTTTGTTGCATACAGCTCTCAAAGGGTCACCACCTCCGATATACACTACATAAATATGACAAAAATAAATAAATACAGAATTATGCACATACCCACATATATAACGTACTCTTGAACAGCATAGGTAACAAGCTATTCCATAACTTTTATTGATTTAGTGTAATAAATGTATATTACTGTTTTTGTTTTTGGTGATGGTGCAACACTATAATTGCATCACTCATATTAGGCATATCCTTTAAATATTACAGTTTAAAGAAGCTGTTGTTTCTTCTGTTTATAATGATGGATAGATCAAGGTGGTGTGTTTGGCCAATGATAATAGTGATTGGATCATGTTCGGATGCTCTTATGCATCTGTATTACTTCCATATCTTTCCTGTTAGAAGTGCTTCATCTATTAATATTCTTCATGTTTATTTATTTACATTGCTTTTATGTCACTCATTGCCACAGACTTTCTGTAGCTAATAATAGAAACATATGAGAAGCTCCAAGAAGTCCCATATACAGTACATATAAAAATAAAAATACTATTATAAATTATGAATAGGTTCAGTTGCTGAAAAAGAATAGATAATTTCAATATATTTTAAGCATTTGGCACATCTTGCTGAATTTTTCTATAATATATCCTATTATAGCTATTTCTGTATTTTGTCACAATGTTATTTGCAACGTATTCTTTAAAATGGTTCATGTGATCAGTGAAATATTAATTTGTAAAAGCATTGTCCATACAAAGTTAATGAAGGCTTTCTACCCACTCTTCCTCAAAATCTTAATGCTTGTTTTTGAGTAGAATAATAAAGGCAGACTGAAGCAGGGGGATTCAATGGGATTATTAATATACTCCAGGACTCTATTACAAAATGTTTTTCATATTTTAAAATATGCACATGTGAGTGAAGTACCAGTCTTAATTCTCATGAGTATTTAATTGGTGACAAAACAATGGAAAACAACCATGAATGTTGCTGACATCAAATTCTCTATAAAATGTGTAAGAGGGACTGAGCAATTGGAGTAAGAGAGGCTACAAGAATCTTCCAGTTATATTCAGTAGGAAGAAGAAACAAAATAGTGATCAGAGAAAGCGCAATATCCTGAATTTGGCTGGCTGAAAAAAGGTACACATCTTGAGAGGTATTGATATCCTAGCATTGGCAGGCCAACTTTCCCATAACAAGATTTTCCTTGAATCTTGAACAAGTTTCATTGAAAGGGGAAGAGGTAGATTAAAGGAATTTCAATAAATGGGTTAATGTAAATCTGAAATCACCTTGATCATTAGGGCAGACACTTTTTTCAAGTTCTTTCTTATACCCCTTTTCTGAACTGGTTGTTAACATTTTTCTAGTGACCTCTTGAATCCTTATCAGAACCATTATCATTGTACATGATGGAGTGATTGAATAAGCAGGATACTTAAGAAGAATAGATGGGGTATAGGCTCCAGGGAGCATATAATTAAGCAACTTAAAAAGGGGACAGGAAAGTTAGAAATGAATTTGTTAGCAATTAATATCACTTGTTTAATAAAGTTAACATACAAATGATACAAATCATGTAAAATGATAAAACTGATATAATTACGTAATCCATTCATAAACATTAATGTAAATTTAAGTAAAGGCATTGCTTCACCTAGACTACTTTGGGTGCCCTATTGTACATTATTTCAGGAAGACATCAAGACATAAATGTGGTTTTTTAAAGACACAATGTCTCCTAAAAAGAGGGTTGTTAAATCAAGTATTCACTGTGATATATTAAAAAAAACTCACATAGCATAGTCTGATTTAACATGATTACAAATTTCATAAAATAGCTAGATATATCTATTAAAACAAATGGAGTTAATTATTCTATGAAAATATAAATATTTTATTCATTGTGTCCTCAATGCTTCCACCTTGCTCAGATTTAGTGAATCTTCTCACCTGTCCCCAATAAAGTACTTTACAAAAATGAATCTGCCAGGACCAACATAAGAGTTTCCTAATGATAACTTCTTGGTTTTGCACCAACAGGATGGCTAATTGCTGTTGTTAATTAGCTAAGGATTTTACCTGCATGCTTCCCAGCCTTTTGCTTTTCAAGCTGCCTTCGAGTGATGCTGTCACGTAACCGTTTTAGATTTTCCTGGAAATGCAAAATTAAAATTTTAGGAATCTGAACAAATGCATCATTATTCATAATGACATGCAAATCTGGCAAGAATTAATTGAATCAACACAAAGTAGAGAGACTTTCAAATTGAAAAATCCAGGAGAGCCAGTTTGGTCTAGTGCAGAGGTAGGCAACCTTGGCTCTTTTATGACTCGTGGACTTCAACTCCCAGAATTCCTGAGCCAGCTATGCTGTTACCATTGTTTTACTGAGGCCTCTTTTTTCTTCATTTTCAAAACTAGTAATCTACATATTGATATTTATGCAGGGCATAAAGCAAACTAGAACTTCTGGCAGCCATATACTCCTGGTCAAACCATCCTGTGTATTATGTTTCTGGAGATTCTGAATAAAAAGGATGTGTGATGTGTGACTTTCAAATAATTGGGGGCTTGTCCTGATAGTTCTCACCATTGCATGATTCGTCTTCATTTAAGGTTTTAAACGAGTGCCCAAACTGCAACCCAAAACCCACTTATTTATCGCCGGCTGCCAGGTGGGTGTGCCCCACTGGGTGGGCGTGGCTGTGGTGATCATGGTAGATTGGGTGGGTGTGGCTAAGGTGGGCGTGGTCACCTCTATGTTGCTTGTGGGGAGGGACGCCTGTGGGGGCCGGGCAGGGTTGGGGGAGATCCAGGGGGTCTCTGGCAGGTGGGGCAGTGGACAGGAGGCTTGTCCTGCTGGCTAAGGCAAGGCAAGGCGAGGCAGGGCGGAGGTGCCATTGTCACAGGGCAAGGTGAGGCAGGGGCCAGGGCAGTTGCTGCCTGACACCATCAGCCGCTGCACACAGAGGGCAGTGAGTGCATGGGTGCTGGGATGCATCTGGCCATGTGGGACCTCGGCAAATTAGCGGGCGGCTGGTTGAAGAGGGACAATGGCCATCTCCGGGGCATGGTACGCATGCCCACAGAGAGGGCTCTGAGTGCCGCCTCTGGCACGCGTGCCATAGGTTCGCCACCACTGGCATAGTGCTTGGGTCTTAACCACTCAGTCATCGCACCACCCTAATGAAAGATATAATAAAAATATTGAAATACTTTTAATATGCAAGTGCGGGTTGCTGCCCAATACATGCAATGTGGTGGGGAATATTCACTGTCTGGAAAGCTACTTAGATGTCCCTCCTTTGTCACTTGACTAGCTAATACAGGAACTATCTATATTGGATTCTTCTAAAGCCCAAGTCTCTTGTAAAAAGAATGTCAAGGTCGGATAAAAACTTGATTAAAAAGAGATTTCTTTCCTAACTGGAGATTGTTATGGAGTGGGCAACTACACAAAGAGAATAAGTTTAATTCTCAAAAAACTTCTTCTTATCCTACTGTTCATAAATGAAGAAACTGAGGGGAAATATTCCACTAGGACAAAAGTATTCTAGTTGTCCCAAGCTACCTTAAGAGAATTTTTACATAAATCAGAAGTTCTGTCTATTGTAGGAAATTTTTCACCATTTTAGCCTATTAAAATTTGAAGAGTTCTATTTAAAAACTCAACTATGCTATTTACAGAAAGACAGGGAGCAGAAATTGTGGCAATTGACCTTTCCTGCAATGACAAAAACAGACAGATTTAAAGTAATGTGAGATGTAAGGCAAGCTAGGTTTAGTGGTGAGACTTTATAACGTTCATCTCTTTGAAATACATACCTGTTGATAGCGAAATGATTCTGCTCTCTTCTTTTGATTTAACTGCCACTCTTTGAAACACAGGACAGCTTCATCTACAGTGAGCATCCCCAGCTTCACCTGCTCTTGTAGAGTAATCAGCTGCCTCTGACCTGGAGTCTTCATACCAGCAAATGGGTCATATATGCTCTGTTGAGACTGGTTTGAAACTGTATTTATTTGTTCTAAAATTAAAACGGGGGGGGGAAATCTTCATGTTATTTTCTCATAGGGCAGTGGTTCTCAACCTTTTTAATGCCGCGACCCCAACCGGTCGTAAGTCGAGGACTAAACCGGTCGTAAGTTGAGAACTAAACCGGTCGTAAGTCGAGGACTAAACTGGTTGTAAGTCGAGGACTACCCAACCGGTCGTAAGTCGAGGACTTTCCCTGCCCGGGAGCGCCGCGCATGCGTGGTTCCGCCCCCTGCGCCGGCCGAGGCGTAGCTGGCAAGTGGCAGAGACGGAGCAGGCCGACCACCAGCTGGCCCAGCCCAAGGGAGGTAAGGCATCCACCGGAAAAGGGGGAAAAAATGGCGGACAAAAAAAAATGGCGGACAAAAAAAATGGCGGACAGCCTTGCTTGGCAACCCCCATGAAATGGTCGATCGACCCCAAATGGGGTCCCGACCCACAGGTTGAGAACCACTGTCATAGGGCATATTACATAGTTCAATTGTGAAGTTTAAATCAAAGGAATGTTGTTTTCCAGGACGTGAGTGTGCTGATTGAAGAGTAGGAGAGAGCTGTTGCACCAAAATGCCCAAGGGAAACCCCTCATCAGTCACACTAACTGAATGGATGGATTCCCTCCCTAATGAACGTTTCATATTTATTTATTATTTATTTATTTATTTATTTATTTATTATTTAGATTTATATCCCGCCCTTCTCCTCGTAGGACTCAGGGCGGCTGACAATCAATTAAAATACATAAATAACAATACAGGTTTAAAATTAATTAAAAGAAATATTTAAAGATTGTCCAATTTAAAATATTAATTAAAACCCCTCTAAAAATTACCCTAGGCCAGTCCT